CACAAAGGCAACAGCTTTCCATAGACCTCTACATAAGCTTCTACTTCATAGTCCTGATGAGGGAGCACAGGGCTAGCTGAGGACAAAGCAGAAGCTGACACCTCACAACCCACCCACCCCCCAGGGGGGATATATGTGACATTCCTCAGGCACTCCTGGCAGCCCTAAAGCTAAGGAAAGGAAAAACAGTTAACTTATAGAGATCACAATCCTGCAAGACACGAGTCTCCCTCAGTTTACAAGAGTCTTAGCAATTTATAAGAACAAAGTATTTCTATCAATAACCTAGCTTCCAGAAGGAAATGTAGATACAATTAAGTGTCCTTATAACCTGCAGCCCAGTAACAGATACTTGAAGTGGGCAGAGTATAATGTTCCTCCTGGAAGTTCCCAACAATCTTAATGTTAATGCCTTGCTAGAGGGAAAAACAACCTTAACTTAACAATGGCAAGGCTTCTGGTATCCTCTGAGTCTTCTTTAACTTGTGAAAATCCTTTTGAAACCTCCCTTTTCCTTACCTTCCCCAACTCCCAAATATGTAATCAGCCACCCCTCACAAACCTGGGGCAGCTCTTTCTGCCCACGGGTCCTGTCCCCGTGCTTTAATAAGCCACCTTTTTGCATCAAAGACGTCTCAAGAATTCTTTCTTGGCCGTCGGCTCCGGACCTCACTCCACTGAACCTGACCTATATTCCAAAACCCCATCAGTCCTACTTTAATTGCTTGCTGTAATTGGATTTTTAGATTACCCTGAAAAGCTCCAACTTACCCATTTGCTCTAGTGCTTCAGAGGACCTATCAGCAACTCTTTCTCTGATCCTCAGTCCTACAACTGCAAGGAACTAAATTCTCCAATAACCAATGAGCTTGGAAGAGGACCCTGAACCTCAGATGAGATCACAGCCCTGGCCAACACCTTGATTTCAGCCAGCCTAGCGAGACCCTGAACAGAGAGGATCCAACTAACTTGTGCCTCAACTCCAGATTCACATAAATATGAGATAATAAGTTTGTGTCATTTTAAGTCATTGAGTTTGTGGCAATTTCTCACACAATAGAAAATTAACACAACATCTAAAAAACATCGAACATTCCAATACATGACCATGGTATATCTCTCTGTTTATTCATCTCAACAATGTTTTGTATTTTTTGGTGTATAGGTATTGCACATATTTTATTCAATTGACCCATCCATGTTTAGTGTTTTTATATACTTCTGTAAATGACATTTTAAAATTTCAATTTCCAATTGTTTATTGCTTAGTACATAGAAATACAATTGATTTTTGTATATTGACATTATGTCTTGTGACCTTACTGGTTCAAATAGCTTTTTATATAGATTCCTTAAAATCTTATGCATACATGATCATGTCATTTGTGAATAAAGGGTTTACTTCTACCTTTGCAATCAGTACCTATTATTTCTTTTTCTTCCCTTACCTACTGACTAGGATTTCCAGTACTATGTTGAATACAAATTTTGAGAGTTGGCAATCTTGCCTTGTTCATGATCCTAGAAGAAAGTATCCATTCTCTTATTTTTAGATATGATGCATGCTGCAATATTTTTGTCGATATCTTTTATAAAGCTGAGCTGCAGGGAGGCTTTTTTCCCTTTGGCTCCTTAACCCAGAGTTGGTGCTGTCTCTTCTCCATGAACCTCCTATAGATCAGCAAGGGCCCAGGCCCAGTTGCTACCTTTTTGCCCCCACAAATGCTGCTGCATGTTTTCCCTGTAATCCTCAATGTTTTTAAACCCCACAGGACCAGATAAGATGGTGACTTGGGTGCTTATATCTAACAGTTATAAAAGTTTGAGTGCCTCCTCTCCCCACAAATTCCCCAGTATATTTGTTTTTGTTTTTGTTTTTGTTTCCTAAATCACTTGAGATTGGGATGGAAGAGAGTGATCAGGGGGTGTAGAGTGAGAAAGAAATTTCTTTACATTTACTTTTGTTTTCAAGTGAATACCTGCTCAAGCTCAACAAGTGAACTTCTAATGTTTTGCTCCACTCAAAGCTCTATATTCTCAATGCTGACACTATATCCTTATGGGAGGCCTTTTGACTCAGCAGTCACAACATTCATTGCATTTTGGTTGGAGTCCCAGGGCTTGCTGCCCCATTGTCATGATAACATCCCTACAAACTCCCACCCAGAGGAGATTCAACAGCAATCAAAACACCTTTGAAGTGGCTTTTTCTTTTTTTAAATTTAATTTTATTATGTTATGTTAATCACCGTACATTACATCATTAGTTTTTGATGTAGTGTTCCATGATTCATTGTTTGCGTATAACACCCAGTGCTCCATTCAATACGTGCCCTCTTTAATACCCATCACCAGGCTAACCCATCCCCCCACCCCCTCCCCTCTAGAACCCTCAGTTTGTTTCTCAGAGTCCATAGTCTCTCATGGTTCATCTCCCCCTCTGATTTCTGCCCCCCCCTTCATTTTTCCCTTCCTAATATCTTCTTTTTTTTTTTTTTAACAAGGCTTTTTCTAATTCCTGGTCTCATTAACAGATAGAGCAGTGGAGAACCCTTATTTCCACATTGGCCCTCTCATCACTGGGGAGAAAGCATTCTTTCTCTATTTCATACTGGGGAATCTCATATCCCATATCACAGCACACACCCATCCTCATTGCCAAAACTATCAGGAACTGTGAGGGTCTAGAATTTTACCCTGCTTACAAGCTAATTGAGATTTACTATTATTATTACTATTGCTAGTTCATGAATGCTGGCAGAAAACATGAGACTCCTAGATAGATACACATTCTATGGGCTGCATTACAGGACAGAAACACTGAGATTAGGGTATTTGCCATTTTTATAGTGAACCACTGCTCTTTGTCTAAGGGACAGACATTACCTCATCCTTCTAGGCTGCTCACTGAAAACACAACACTGAGAAATGACCAAGGCAAAGAGTGTTCAGGGCCTTGTATTCTTGGCATACCCAACAAGAACTTGAAGGGATACTCAGGTCCTATCATAGATGGCCTCTCCCAATTGAAAAAAAAGGTTCACTCAAGAAGTAATAAATCACTTGAGGAGTCATGGCTTTGAAAGTTATTCCCCGTGATCTCCTTATTTGCTGCAAATAAAGTTTCTTTCGTGTGACAACTCCACCTGGTGTAGTCTCTATCTGTAACTCACCAAGGAGCAAACTCATATTAGTTCAATTACAAATTTGGTGACTCAGATGGGACACTTGTCCTTCTGAAGTTCTGCCCTCTAGTTACCTGGGTTAAGCTACCAGGGCCTGGTGTCAACTCCTTGGAGGACTCACCTTGGTGCTTGTGAACACTGGCCCAGTGTTCTGACCTCACCTGAAATCCAAAGGCCACTTTGAGTATTTTTTACTCAAAAGGATCGCAGTTGGGATAAGTTACGCTGGGTTTATAGCACAGCTTTTAGAGGAAAACTAGAGTTGTCTCACAAAGTCTAGGCAAGCCAGAATAACAGAGTACTCTGGGGGATTGAATACTTATTCGAGTTGAGCCTATGATGAAGGATCACACAACCTGACCATTCAGAGGCTTGGATGCCCCAGCCTGGCAAAACAAGGAATGGTCCAACAGAGACTAGTTTAGAATCTGGGAGGTTGAAAGAAAAATCTCTGCCTCACCTGGTTGTTTGGTGTGTTTGTGAGGCATGCCAGACACTGTTGTTGTTCCCTGTTTAAATCTCCACCCTGGATACTTGGTCCTTGTACTTCTCTCTTTCTTCCTTTACAATCCCAGACAAAGGAGACAGTAGCAACCTGAGTCATTGGAAACAGGTCCTTGATTACTTAAAAAAAAAACCTGAATCTTCTCAATATTAAAGGAGCTAAGTTTCTCTAATACCTGTATAACCCTCTATATTTGCCTTTGGAATCTCTTGTCACCACCTTGGTTAAATAGATAATAAAATATTAAATTTTATAGTGATCTGTGATCCTACTTAGGTATGTGCTTTAAAACCTTCTGGGTTTTTTTTAACAAATTTCCCAGAAATTCAAATTCTAAATGAAGTCTTTCTGAATAATCAGACTTGTTTATTTGGTATGTTAATTTACATGACAAGCATTGTCAAACAAATGATGATAAGCCTTCATAGGTTATATTGTATGGGTAAATGCTGTAACAGTTCCAGAAAGTATGTGAAATTCCTGAAGTTTTAATATGTACTGATATAATGTCATCACTTAAAATTCTAATTATTAAAATGTGTGTCACAAAAATAACTGAATTTCATTGTCAACTACACTATAATGAATTCTCATCAGATCTTTAACCATGTCCATTTTTGAATCTTTTGTCATTAACAGTTATTGTTCTCATGCTCTTGCAAAAATGTTTCAGCTTCAAGGAGATTCATGAGAAGGACTTTCAACAAATACAGGTTTTTCATCCCCTTAGAATTGTATAACTAAACTGAGTAAGAATTTCTGGAACTAATGAAAAAACTGCATTCAAACAGAATTAGTAACATGGGACTAAATGATTTGAGAAAGATGACTATAGTTCTTATCACTTTTGTATAAAACATTGCTGGTTCTCTAATATTTGTTCTTCTAGATTTAAAAAACAAACATTTTCTCTTAAGCTATCTACGACTTACAGAAATTTGGTAAAATATTCCTTTGTGAACAAATTGGAACATTTATCTTTTCTCCCTACCTGAACCCTCCAAAATTCAGAAACTCTCATTGAGTATTCTTTCTTTCATGGCAATTGTAGTTATTTGCGTATGTTCAATAAGAATCTGCTTTCCTTGAGCAGAACACCATTGGAAACACTGGTTATATTACCAAGACTTTGACTGGAATGTCATATTTGAGAAAGACTTACATAGATTCAGATATGACCAGACAGCTTTAAAGAACTAAGGTTGACTTTAGGAAGCCAATAAAGCCCCTTGGAGATGTTGGCTTGATACCTTGCTTACAGAGTTCCCAGCAACTTTATCATGTGAGTAAAGAATGTCACTTTTTGGCAGGTGCAGGAACCTCAGGATGTTTTGGGGACCTCAGGAAAAGAAGAAGTAACCCAAATTTACAGGTATTGCAGGTGAGTCTGATGGCAAGTATGTGGCTTGGCTTCTTAGCCTTGAGAGGCTATTAAAAGTTCAATCTAAAATTCCTTATGAAAAGTTCCAGCAAAGTAGATTTAAGGAAACCTATATGGCCAATCACTATTCTTGCTACACGTATGTAAATAGTTAGGTAAAATCTGTTAAAACTGGATTTGTTTTACAAACAAAATTAGCCTTAATTTGGCTATCTTTGACAGAAATGAGTGTGATTTTAGAGAAAAATTGTTTCAATAACACATCTTTGTAGGTGTTAGATTCTAGTTCTGATTAATTATCTTTGACTGTTTGTTGTTTCCTATAAAACTGGGCTGGATCCCGAATTCTTCTGGTTTCCTTGAATATCTGGCTATGACTCTCCAAACTAAAGTTTCCAATTTTCTTTCATTCTCTTGATTTGGAATCACTGAGACCTAAAACTGCCCTTTTTCCTGAAGCCCTGAAAACTGAAGCTAGACACCTTAAGGTAAACTTCAGAGAAATTGCCTCACTGGCCCATGTTTACACAATCTTTTTTATTACGATTTTATTTATTTATTTGAGAGAGAGAGAGAGTGCAGACCTGGGGGGAGGGGCAGAAGGAGAGAGAGAATCTCAAGCAGACTGCTCCAACATGGAGCCTGAGCTCACAACCGGAGCTGAAATCAAGACTTGGTCACTTAACCGACTGAGCCACCCAGACACCCTGTGTTTACACAATCTTCATGCCTATTGTTGTATTGGCCACTCAGATCACTAGAGACATTTGAGTTCAAATAAGTTCAAACCAGAAACAATCCATCAGATTGCCACTGCCTGCTCCCACTCCCACTGAGGATGCTTCCAACCCAACATCTAGAAATATTTCACTGGCAACACTCAGGACTCAGACACTGGGTTTATAATTTGCTCCAGTCATTAATCTGTGTATTTCTTTTGTTTCCATAGAAATGTCTCATTAATTACCTAATTGCTTGCACAATATAGACCTAATTTTGAGAGCCCACCTGCAAGACTGCCTCCTGAAATGAGACAACTGTTAAACTAACCTATTTTCAAGACTAAGACCAGTTCATAAGATATGGAGCAAATTTCTCACCTATGGTCCAGAACAGAACAGTTAAGTTCCAGCTAAGAGAAAAGAATGTTGATCTATGTTGTTTTTCTAAGAAAAATCTTGTCAAAAGAGAAAATGTTAATCTGTAACCACACCACAAGAACTTTTGATAGAAATTTATTCCAGATATGAGACAGATTCTTATAGATAACCCCCAGTTATGATAAATTAAGTCAGAGAACTACATTATACTGGGAACAAGTTAATCATACTAAACACTGGACCCTTTTTCTGGAATCCCCAAAGGATTAAATCAATGTTACAAGGACTAGTAAAATTTGGGTTATATGTAATAATGAAATGTGCTTTCCAAATATTTTGGCCATGCAAAATGTACACTGCTAGCCAAGTACCAGGGTAGATTTCCAACAAAGTGCAAAGTTGTTTTATTCCTCAAACTCCAAAACTTCATTCCATTTTAGCAGGACATAGCCAGAGTGGTCATTGTCCCAATTCCTTCAAAACTGAGGAATGATCATAAATCTAGGGGAGATTGAAACCATGCCCCATGGGGTCAATGAGGTTAAAACTGTCATCAGAAAGGTCCCCAATGACCCTCTCTTCTTCTTCACAGGAATGTTAACCTTATCTTTTAGAGGCAAACAACAGGAAGAGCTCCAGCCAGCCTAAACCCAGTTTGAGCTCAACCATCCCCTCACACCTGTGCAGAGAGAGCATGGAGTGTCCAATAGTCACGTTTACCTCATAATAATGTTAAAATCTCCACTCAAGGAGGAACATAAACCTCATTAACATAACATACAGTACATGTATAAGCATGTTTCCTAAGTAAGCATCAGTTGCTTTATACCCACCTCTACATGTGATGACAAAACTTCCTTTTCTGAGTATTCATCCTATCCTTAAATAAAAGAAACTCACTCACCCCCATTTGGGGAGTCACCACTTTGAAGTTATTCCCGTGATCTCCTTATTTGCTACAAATAAAGTTTCCTTTGTGTGACAAAAAAAAAAATAGATCGCTTGAATATCCTTATATTTTTAATTTATAATGAACTCCCCCATACAGACATATACCAGGCTCAGATTGTCACTGATGAATTCTGCCATTTAGGAAAGAAATGTTTGTTCTACACAAACTCTTAACCAAAATTGAAGAGAAAGGCATACTTACCAGCTTATTCTATGAGGCCAATGCTACTCTGATATCAAAACCAGACAAAGACATTGCAAAAATTTACGAGAAATGATAAACCAATATCTCTTGGGACCATAGATGCAAAATTCAACACAAAGTATTAGCAAGTTGAATTCAGTGATATATGAACATAATCTCCAAAAACCATACAGAACTAATAAGTGAGTTTAGCAAGATCAAAGGATATAAGGTCAATAACAACAAAAATATATCATATTTCTATATACTATTAGTGTACATTTGGGAATGAAAAAAATCTAAAAATAATACATTTACAATAACCCTCCAAAAGTGAAATACTTAAGTATAAATCTAACAAAGCATGTATAAGATCTGTATGCTGAAAACTATAAAATGCTCATGAAAGAATTAAAAGAAGACCTAAATACACCTAAAAATAAATATGCCATATTCATGGATTGGAAGGTTCAGCATATAAAAATATAAATTATATTCAAAATTAATTATAAATTTAATGCAATTCTTTTTTTAAAGATTTTATTTATTTATTTGACAGAGAGAGACACAGTGAGAGAGGGAACACAAGCAGGGGGAGTGGGAGAGGGAGAAGCAGGCTTCCTGCCAAGCAGGGAGCCCGACGCTGGGCTCGATACCAGGACCCCAGGGTAATGACCCAAGCCAAAGGCAGATGCTCAACAACTGAGCCACCCAGGTGCCCCAATTTAATGCAATTCTTATCTAAATCTCAGCAAGATTTGTTTCTGTAGATATAAATAAGTTGATGCTAAAATTTATAAGGGAAACAAACAAAATAGAATAGCTAAAACAATTTTTTAAAAAGATTTTATTTATTTATTTGAGAGAGAGAGAGCACAAGTGGGAGGAGGGGCAGAGGGAGAGAATATCAAAGTAGACCTGCTAAGAGCAGAGCCTGACACAGGGCTCAATGTCATGACCCATGAGATCAAGACCTGAACTAAAACCAAGAATCAGATGCTTAACTGACTGAACCACCCAGGCACCCCTAGCTAAAGCAATTTTGAAAAGAATAATCAAGTTGGAGCAATCACACTACCTTATTTTAAGAATTACTGTAAAGCTATGCTAATCAAAACAATATGTCATTAGCAAAGGGATAGACATATAGATCAATGGAGCAAAATAATGAGCCCAGAAATATGCCCAGAGAGAGGGGAAAATGGCAGCAGAGTAGGAGGATCCTAGTCTTGCCTTGTCCCATGAATACAATTAGATAATTATCAATCATCCTAAATACCCCAGAAATCAACCAGAAGTTTGGAAGAACAAACTCCACAACTAAAGGTAGAGAAGAGGTCACATCAGGAAAGTAGGAAATGGGGAAAGACACAGTTTGGGAGAGAAACAGATCATGGTCACTATGGTGGGGAGAGAGACCCAGTCACAGAGAAGGGCAAGAAACAGACTAGCACACAGGGGAGTGCACAGGGAAAATGAATCCCCACAGCAATTGGCTTGGAAAGAGAGAGGGCCTGAATTTCATGAGTTCTTGCAACCAGCATGGCTTAAAGTCTGGAGTTTTAAAGATAGAGCCCAGAGGGCATTGGGGTTGCTATTGGAGAGAAGGCAGGCAAACCTCCCAGGAACGTACAGCATGGAAATAGTGATCTGAAGAGTGCCTGGGGCACACAGTGGGGAGGTTATTTGCTCATTTCAGAGCATATCCCATAAAGGTAGCCATTTACAGAGAGACCCCTCTGGGAACAAAGGAACTGGCCAGTTCCATTTCCCACTCCCTCCTCTCAGCATAAGCACACTGGTGGGAACCAGCACAGAGCAGACACTCACTACCTAACTTGCTTACACCAAGACCTGCCCCCCCCCCCACATGCTCCTCTGGAACTGCCCCTCCCAGTCACATTTGCTTCAGTCCCAATGCAGTGAGACCCCTCCCCAAGAAGACTGGCCCAAACTCCTGCCAATACTTTGTCTCCCACCTGAAGCTTTGCGCAGTGGCAGTATGAGGTTTATCCGAGGCGCGATTATTGCTAATTAAGGAAAACTTTGCCTCCCACCTGGGAGTTTTGCAGAGCCTTGGTTCTGGTGGCAGCAGGTCTCATTTCACAAGCAGGCCAGTGCACACCTAGTTAAAACACAGTGCGTTTAGGGGCACCTGGGTGGCTCAGTTGTTGGGCATCTGCCTTAGGCTCGGGTCATGATCCCAGGGTCCTGGGATCGAGCTCTGCATTGGGCTCCCTGCTTGGCAGGAAGCCTGCTTCTCCCTCTCACTCTGCCTGCTTGTGTTCCCTCTCTGCTGTCTATCTCTGTCAAATAAATAAAAAAAAAAATCTTTAAACGCACACACACACACACACACACACACACTGCATTGAGGTCAGGGGCCAAACACTGCCCACAACAGGCAAAGAGAGCCTATGCAGATGACTGGTCTAAAGTGGCCAGTACTCAAGAGCAGAGCACATGCAGCACACAGTGGAGGCATTCCAGAAGTGCCAGGCTGTGGGGAGGAGGGGACACTGCAGTGCAAGGCACTACAGGACCTCTTCTTCATAAGGCCATTACTCTCAAGAACAGAAGACTTAGCTGACTTTCCTAACACAGAAAAACAGGCACAGAGACTTAGACAAAATGAGAACACAGAGAAATTTATCCGATATGAAAGAATATGACAAAGCCATGGCCAGAGATCTAAGCAAAACAGATATAAGTAACATGTCTGATGGAGAGTTTAAAACAATGATCATAAGAATACTTACTGGACTCGAGAAAAGAGTGGAGGACTTCAGTGAGACCATTAACACAGATATAAGGAATAACATACCAGAAATAAAGGGCTCAATAAATGAAATGAGCAACACCCTTGATGGAATGAACAGCAGGCTGGAAGAAACAGAGAGAGTTGGGGTTAGGGTCCCCTAGAAGGACCCTAGGCTCACTTCATCCTATGAACGCAACTAGATAACTATCAAATCATCTTAAATACCCCGGAAATCAACCTGAAGACTGACAGAACGAACTCCATAACCAAAGGGAGAGAAGAGGCCACACTGAAGAAGGTAGTAATTAGGGAGATGTGGTTAGGGAAGAAATGTACTACGGCTGCTGTGGAGGGGAAGAAGCCATTTTTATGGAGAAAGGTGAGACAAAGAGGAGCACACGGAGGAACACACAAGAACTCCCCAAAGCGTTGGCTTGGAAATCCGGAGGGGCTGAATTTCAAGGGTTCTTGCAACCAGCAGAGCTTAAAGCCTGGAGTTTTAAAGGTCAGCAGGCTTGGCTGGGAAATAGCCCAGAGGGCACTGTGCTGCTCTTGGAGAGAAGGCAGGCAAACAACCCGGGGCGGGGGGGGGGGGGGGGGGGGGGCAGACAGTGTGGAAACAGCAATCTGAAGAACACCTGGGGCACACAGTGGGGAGATTATCAGCTCTTCTCGGGTGTCCCTGAGAGGCAGCATTCACAGAGACACCTCTCCAGGAACAAAAGAGCTGTTTGGAGCCTTTTTCCTCCGGGCCCCTCAGCATAAACACAGAGCAACCTGCAGGAAGCAGCACAGTACTGACCCTGGCTACCTGACTTGCTTACACAAGGCCCCACACCCCTGCACTCTGGCTGGACTGCCCTTCTCAATCACACTTGCCTCAGTCCCAGTATGGCAGGCCCCTCCCCCAGAAGATTAGCACAAACCTCAGCCCACACCAGTAAGTGTAAGTAGCAATACTTGTATTGAACAAGCTAGACTTTAAAACAAAGACTGTAACAAGAGATGAAGGGCATTATACCACAATAAAGGGGACAATCCAACAAGAAGATATACCAATTGTAAATATTTATGCACCCAACACAGGAGCACCAAAATATATAAAACAATTAACAACAAACATAAAGGAACTCATTGATAATAATAGAATAATAGTAGGGGACTTTAACACCCCACTTACATCAATGGACAGATCATCTAAACAGAAGATCAACAAGGAAACAATGGCTTTGAATGACACACTGGAACAGATGGGTTGAACAGATATATTCAGAACATTCCATCCTAAAACAGCAGAATACACATTCTTTTCAGGTGCACACAGAACATTCTCCAGAATAGATCATGTATTAGATCACAAAACAGGCCTCAACAAATACAAAAAGAATGAAATCATACCATGCACCTTTTCTCACCACAACCCTATCAAACTAAAAGCCAACAAAAGAAAAAATCTAGAAAGACCACAAATACATGGAGGTTAAACAACATCCTACTAAAGAATGAATGGGTCAACCAAGAAATCAAAGAAGAAATTAAAAAAAAAAAAACAAAACACATGGAAGCAAATGAAAATGAAGACACAACAGTCCAAAACCTTTGGGATGCAGCAAAAGCAATCATTAGAAAGAAGTATATAGCAATACAGACCTACTTCTAGAAGTAAGAAAAATCTCAAATAAACAACCTAACCTTACACCTAAAGAAGCTAGAAAAGACAATAAATTAAGCCTAACGCCAGCAGAAGGAAGGAAATAATGAAGATCAGAGCAGAAATAAGCGAGATAGAAACTAAAAAAACAAAAACAACAACGAACAAAAAACAATAGGACAGATCAATGAAACCAGGAGCTGGTTCTTTGAAAAAATTAATAAAATTGATAAGCCTCTAGCCAGACTTATCAAAAAGAAAAAAGAAAGCACCTAAATAAATAAAATAATAAATGAGGGAGGAGAAATAACCAACACTACAGAAATACAAACAATTATAAAAGAATATTTTGAAAAATTATATGCCAACAAATTGGACAACCTAGAACAAATGGGTAAATTCCTAGAAGTATATAACCTCCCAAACTGAATCAAGAAGAAACAGAAAAATTGAACAGACCAATAACCATCAAAGAAATTGA